TAGATTGCTCGAATGGGAAGACCAAGAGCTAGGAAAGTTGCCAGGAAGCATAATCCAGCCCAAAAGTACAAGGATGCAATGGTGGAGAAAGCATACAGGAAGATCGCGAAAATTGAAAAAGTACTGCTCATCAAATGGTCCATAGAAGGATGGTTAATTCGTTCCTCCGGCAAAGGATTTAAAATAAAAAATGGGCAGAGTAGATTTGAACGCAAATCACAAAATGTTGTAATTACCGCAGGAAACCACCCTAACCAAAAGGATCAGTCTGTTTATTTAGTTATAGCCAGTTTTTCGTATGCAAAATAAAACCTTAACTAATATTCTAGCATTATCTGAGTAAAAAAAGTTTTGTGATAAAAAATAACTGGAAGATAAAATAAATCAAAGTGAAAGTTCAGAGGCAGATCCAAAGAGTTGGCTGAACTCATTCAATTATTTTTTACTTCTTCAGTTTTTTAAGGCACAGCCCGCGATAATTTTAAGGTACCCCTTTTTAGCTGAAATGCGGAAGTGTAGGTTGAGAATAGTTCATTGGAAGCGAAAAATACGTCGATTTTGTGCAAAATAAGGCTCCTCAAAAGTAGTGAGAATAGGGGTTGGGCGAGATTACCATGACGGAAATAACATGGATTTGGTATTCGGACGAGTTTTCAGCTGTCGTAGTTGCGCAGAGAGCTGACTACATCAAGCAGGAACTGTACAGCACTGCTTTTCACTGTCGCTAATGGTCATGAAAAGTTGTTCAAACTTCCTATAAGGGTTCCCTTGTGAATATGCATTCTCTAGAATGCTGTTAAAACTCGTCCGCGCATACGCACGGGACAATATTTGAGCCTCTATAACGCCCTAACTAAACTGAGTTGCGAGCTGATAGGGCCAGGTATGGTAAATGAGGGAGCCTCAAATTCATTCTATGGGGTATCTCAGGAACCATTTTTATCGTAAACTGTGCCTCTAAACTCAACCGATAATCAAAAAAGTTAGTTTGATGTTAAATACAGAAATGGGTGAAATTCACGGTTATATTGGCAGAGTTTCGCTCAATTATGCTGTTAAAAATTATGTATACAAACTAGAAATGCTAGAAATCGTTTGAACTACTTGGGATGAGCCATGATTAATTATATTGCTTTACAAATGAAAGATACACTTGGAAGGATGGGTTCTGAAACTACGTATCCAGCTTTTATTTTTCTGTCAGCATAATCATCAGCGAATCCTGGCCCAACCGCTTTTGCGAGATCATGGCTTAAGGTTTCATTTATTTTGATCGTACAGGAAAGTCACCCTCAATGAAAAAACGTTCACACGAAAAACTTGTCCTCCAACCAAAACTGGTCCAAATGATGACACGAGCGAGCGAAAAAAAACAAGATCATAACAAGGAGTGAACTTTCAGAGCAGTCTCCCTGCTGTTTTTGAAGGAGAGCTTAAGACCGGAGGAAATTCTGAGTTATTCAAAGAAACGAGGGAGAACTCATCAGGAAATTTTATAGACATAAAGAATCACCGCTAAAGTGCGCAGCTGGGGAATGGATGAATTCTTAATATGGGAAATTCTCGAAGTGTAAGTAAGGTCTTGCACTAACACATACATTAAGAGATGGTCGTACTTCTTCTACTGCCTGGAAATGAACAAAGAATTCAGAATTTTCGAGAAATTTGTCGGTAAATTGAGAGCTGAGATACTTCCATGGACTATTTCTTAAAAAGAGGAAAAAATGTGAAATTTGTGAAGCCAGAATTGAGCTGAGACTTGGTGATAGTGAGGGGTGCCCAACAAAAGTACGGGGGACGGATCAATTCACTGGGTGGTTTGATCTAGCTCAGATCAACTAACTGAGAGTTGCATCGGATCCACTTGGGAGGATTAAAACAGAAAGATGAACAGATAAATCAGTTTTGTAAGCCAATATGTGAGCCGAATGAGCACAGAATGCCATATTGCAGTTTGAAATGGATATGGTCGGGATAATAAAATATAACCAAGAAAAAGATTCATCAAATCCACATGTTTTAGAGACCAATCAAAATTTATGTCATCATGCTAAAGTCGAGAAGTTATGGGAGTTGAAGGTGGTTCCATCGCCCAGATTCTCTCTGCTTTTCACCGTTTCCAAGAATCCAATAACATCAAGCATGGGACAGACCAACGGAATGGTAGTGACCGATTGTAAAGGAAAAGGGGAGGGAGAGGGGTGGGGGGCAATCGGAAAGAATCAGTCAAAGTAAGTCTGCAGCTCAAGAAGTGACTTCAACAAAAGGCTCATGAGCTGAACCCTGCTACCAGCGAGTATTATTTATTCACTTACCAGAAAGGGTAAAAGGGCACAACATTCACCTACCACGGGCAAAAGGTGAGGTGGACTCCTATTTACTCATTTATTTATTCGTCAAACTTGCCCATAAGTCCATGGTATGCCCCTCGAGGTCGAAGAAGTATAAGTATGCGAATGAGCATATGGATATCATAAAAATCCACGGTGGGCTCCATAAAATATGGAAAGGGCTTTGTTCCAGGAGGAGCTTCAGGATTCGGTCATGAATTTGAACCATTAAGAAGACTTGCAGCCTTTCTTCTGATCCCGAACCAAGATTCGGAGGACATCTTAGAAACCATGTTAAGCTATTTGGGAAGAAAAGAACATCGAATTCTCCAATAATTGGAAAAAAGCTATTCCAATTTCAGTAGCTCTTAAGAAAAAGCAGATATTACATTTTCAATTCACCACATTTCCAGAATATGAGGCAAACAGAAGGCTTTCACGAATATTTCTAAGGTACCGGCGCCACGTTTGGGGACCTAATCTTCTTAAAAATTGGCTTCTAACGTCATATAATTAACTGTATGGGTGGGCTCGTTTGCTGACTGACCGAGACCGCCATGAGTTCATCCTTCTTTGAATGTTATGGAGCAGTTGGAGGTAAGTGCTGCCACCAGAACTATGATTTCCGGTGGCTGAGTGATGCTTCATGGGTATTTCTTTGAGGGGCAATCGGACAGATGCAGATCAGAGTGTCTTTCTCTGAGCCAGAATAATGACAGCATAAGCGATACCCCGGAGTCATTATGGCGGACGAGGAAGTTTTGCGGAAGGGAACAGAGTCATTATTCGACCAAAAACCGTTTCTGGGAAGCTGTTGTTCGGGAGAATGAATTGTGGTCCGACTAGAGGCCTTCACAGATGTCAACGATAAATTGGCATAGTTTTACATGGTAATTGAAAATCCTATATGTTAGTACTTTCCCAAGCTGCACACCTACTCACTTGCATGGGAGCTGTACGAGAGGCAGCGACTGGGGCATTCCCTACAACTGCATTTTTGCAACATTTGAAAAGTCTTCAAAAAGAGCATACTCTAGAGGAAGAGTTCCAGTCAGGAGATTGGGAGTGAGTGGAAAGGGATGACATTTGGTTTCATGTGGGGTAACATTTAGCTTCATTATACGGGCCATGCCGAACCTTTTTTGAATGAGCCTCTGAATAGGGCTTTTTTTTTGCCGAATTCTCGCATTAATTCATATATTTGCTCTTGGAGTGGGCCAGATGGTGTTCAGATTGGAAGGAAGCAGGTGATGTCGGGAGGAAGACTTTTTATCGTTATGACTTACTCCGGCCATGAAACAAGTTGCTTGGTTCAATGACGTGATGGGTTCTACGGCCTGAAGCCTTTACTGGTTTCTCTTCGTGATCCCTATAAGGATGCCACAGCAGCCAGTCGTCTCGAAAGTCTCGAGCTCGTTGGCCACGTTGGGTTACATTCGGTGTCTGGACTGCATAATTATCCCCCAAAAGCCTAGTGGTAGATCCCGAACATATTGAATTTCACAGAGAGGCTACAACTATCGTCTGAAGGACAGGAAGAATACACAGTGCGCAGGTCTGAGCCCAAAATTTTAACAAAGCCTTGAAAACCTTAGACTTCCAAAGCTGACCTCGACTCCTACCCTGCGTCCAATGCTCTCCCTGCAATCTTCTGAATACTGGGGACTTCTCATCTCGACCATATCCCGAAAGTAGTGCTCATTTGAGAAAAGCTGACTTAATTTTGATTCCAATTATGGCATCATGGCCCAACCTTTTGGTCAAGTTCGGCGGGAATCTCGGCATGACTGCGGATTGAGGGCGTATGTAGCTTTCCTCGACGACGACGTCAATCTGAAAAGCTCATTGACGTCTGCAGACGCATTATGAGGTTCTTCTCTTTTTATATTTGAGAGTGCTGCCATTATCGTTTTAATGAGAACACTAAAAGGTTCGAGGACGTCAGCCACCAAAAAGAAAAAAGCACATGCTTGAAAATAATATGGAAAAGTGATAATGGAATGGGACCAGGCCTGGGGTCTGTTAGACAAATAATGTGGGTATTGTAGCGGTCTATTAACTGCCGTTGCACAGAACTCGTGGAATGCCCCATTAATTCTACTTGACCAAAAATTGTAGAGACGTTTGATAGCCCATTTGGTCTATACAACGATTGGTTGGCTCATTGGAGCCGATTCACGTCGCGATTCTCCAGATAAGGCAAGTTCGTGGATGGCTATTCATATGGCCGGCCTCCTCTACCGCCGCTGCCACATTAGAGGAGCTACTGAAGCCATATCAAGGAAATAGAAATAAAATTCAAGGATTTCAGGTAATTACTAATTCGAATGTACAGAAAAAACAGAATGGAGTCAATAAGAAAGAGCTTTGAAAGTATTCTTTGGCCTGAACCACTACAAATCAATGAGCATGAGCACCTCTGAGTCAGAATGCGACAACATAAGGATTTGCCGGGGATCTGGAGAACTGAGCTCCAGCCACATCTGCCGCACTTGGACCACGGAAAATCCGCGCGAATATGTCGTGCGCGAAAAAATCGTCGCGTTCTGGTCCAACGGTACTCAACCCTGATCGACAGCAAGTATAAACAGCAAACATTGCTCATTTCATATTTATTGAGTCGTATTATTTTTCAGCGTTTACATTAATGAAAATATGCACAAAAACTAGTCATTGAGCTAGCCAAAGGTCTTGCTCTTCATCTGTGTCAACCTTTTGCTTTTGTTGTTGTTGTTGTTGTTGTTCTTTCGACCCCTTTTCATCTTTCTTCAGTGGTTGATTGCTGGGATCCTTTCTAACGGATATAGGCTGAAAGAGTGAATAATTAAATTCGGATGACAAAAGTATTTACCCCTTTCAGAGGAGCTACACGATCGGGTTCGATTCCTAATCGACCAGAAATTTGCGGTCACATTGTCTACCNTTTTGTTGTTGTTGTTCTTTCGACCCCTTTTCATCTTTCTTCAGTGGTTGATTGCTGGGATCCTTTCTAACGGATATAGGCTGAAAGAGTGAATAATTAAATTCGGAAGTGACAAAAGTATTTACCCCTTTCAGAGGAGCTACACGATCGGGTTCGATTCCTAATCGACCAGAAATTTGCGGTCACATTGTCTACCAATGGACATCAGTAGACTTATAACTTCCTTTTTTATAACCCAATGCTGGTACGGTTCCACTGCGACCCTCAGTGGGTTAGGGTTCGCAAGGGTAAAATCTGATCTGTCAAGACGACAAGGTACTTTGGCTGCCTGGCTGCTCTCCTTCGTACAATTAGACGGTAGTCTATGAGATTTTTGCCATGTCTCAAGATTAGGCTTAGCAGGAGAAGGAAGCAAATGCGAAAAGCGAAACGTCGAGAAATGACCGCCTTTTCTGGTATACGCCGCCCACTCCTTTTTCGTACAAAACTGCTAGGGCGGTATTTCTGTGCGCCATTTGTCTGGATACTGTCTTCGAAAGCTTGGTTCTAAATGTTAGCGATCTGCAGGTCAATTTTCCTACTGTCACGACATGATGTTGGCGATATTTCGTGGGTAGGGTGGAGAAAATAAAACAAAATCAGTTTGAAGCAAATTTCACCGTTGTACGCTGGGTTTTGTCTGACTTGAGTGCTTTCTTTTCTTCCTCACGTGTCCTATAATAATAAAAAGCTAACTTGCTGATGGAGAGCAAGTGCCCGCTGATTTTTTTGGCGTAGGCGGTCAAAATATACACCTTAGATGGGTTAGTTGGACAAGGTGTAGTTCAGCCAATCCCTGACCGTGGGGAATTACTCTCAAAAAGCTTCCATGGAAAAAAGAATTCTCTGCTCCGCCTAAATGAATGGAAAAATGCGCCTTTGGATGGAGCTACGATCGCCTGGGCTACGCTTTCTGTCAAATATATCATTCAAAACCAAGCAACACCAAGATGAGTATTTCGGCATAAAAAATGAACCCCTAGACCATTCCCACGTATAGTTCCTTCAAATGAGTTAAGAAATTTATGGGAGGTTTCCGGGTGAATCTCAACTGTTTTACAATGCTGCTACCTAAGTAGGATCTTCTCAGGCACTTGAACAAAAACACCTACCCTATTTTGTCGCCAGCAACGAGAGGTTTGACTCCTGAGAGGGCTTCTTGGGCTGATTTGGATCCACTGATGGCTTCTTTGGATCCTTTCTTGGGTTCTTCGGATTCATCCTTCTGCTTGGAACCTGATTTCTTCTTGCCTTCTTTGTCAGATTTTTTATTTTCAGCTGACAGTCGTTTTCGCTCCTTCGTTGCTTCTTTGGAACCTTCAATAAATTGAAGATTTGATGCATTAAAGCGAGCAGGGTCAATTAGACTGCGATCATACTCGGCAGACCGCTGACGCGCTTCTGCTCTAGCATCCTCCGTCTCCATTGCGCCTGCAATATCTCATTCTATCCCCTCCACCGGTCGCCGAGTATGATCGCAGCTCAACTACCGGAGGAAGTTCCTGGTTACCTATTCGATCATTCACTAATTTTTCTCTCTTTTTTCATACTTTGATTGTTTGACTTACCTTTTTCGTCGCCTTCTTTGGGCGTATGCGCGACAAGGACAACCGCACTGCTTGGGGGCTTCTGTGACGAATGAGCCGGATAACGGCAGCAGAATAATGATGCGATAACAAGAGTGAAGACTAGAGTTATTGTAGACAATACCTAAACAATGATACTCATCCCTGCCAGATCTCACCGATTGCATGGGGAGATCAATCGCCATTGTTTATCGAAAGGATGCAAAGTGAGGAGGAAAAAAACCTCTCTAAGGGAAAAACAAAACTAAATATTTGCCAAGATTTAAGTCACAAATCGAAAATGAAATTGGCCCTTACCGCTCCACCACGAACGGCTCTCGAATATCCGTCGGGGTATTTTGGTGCCTTATGCAGCCATAAACCTATGCAAGCGCCAATATTGAATATTGCATTGAAAACCATGATTGTGATGATCTGAAAAGGGGACTTGTTCGGTCTATCACCACTGATGAATGTATTGTATCATTGAGTGACGTTTGATACTTCGATTCATCTTCGATCACTACCAATTCTCAAAAACGAAGTCCGTGGGATATGGCTTTCCTTATTGATATGTATCTTGGGCACGTAGGAGGGCGACATAGGTCTTTGGCAGTAAGACGACCCAGATAGGGCTCAAAAATCAACCCCGTTGCTGCATTCATATCCACGATTTGGCCGGGGACCGACCACGCGACCGGTCGCGGGCCAACTCGTGGACTATGAAAGCAGCTCGTCACATACTGTCGCTTAGCAGGGCCTTCAAAAAAAGGCGTGCTTCTGCCCAGTAGACGCTGGATTCATTTAGAGTGGAGCACGTTTGCTGTGAGTGCGGTCAGCCAATGCGTTGAGCAGCTGATACAAGTGTTCTTCAGCGAGTGGATCTCGTCCAAATGCTCCCCCATCGTCACAACCTTGTCACCATTAGAACTGTTCAATTCAAAAATAGCCCTATACTCCGCTTCAAGTTGTCCGTAGGGTCAGTCATTCCTTACGCTGTTACTGTATGCCCTAGCAAACCCATAGTGCTAGGTTTTTCACCCACGTGGGCGGTGAGGCGAAACGACTATTCCCGTTTCCCATTTATCCATATAGAACAAAATGAGGGTGAAGGAGAAGTGTAACGCAACCGTTTTGGACAGAGTTCAATAGACCCTTGTAGTTTGCAAATCACCCTAGGTTTCCTGTTCAACGAGAAACCACAAATTAACGTCAGCAAGAGGAAGTTTCAGGTTAAAGTAGTCAACTTACCACAATTGGAGGAAGAACCCGTGAACATTTTGTAATATTGTTCGCCATCAGGCATACCAACACACAAAGAAAGCACAAACAGTGAAGAACGACCGCACTCATGACCTGTAGAACAGCATTTGGAAGATTTTGATACTTTCCTCAAAACTCCCCAATCCAGACGACACCTAAATGAAATTTCAGTCTACTTATCATGGCTCTATGGATTATGCACAACAGATTTGCGAGAGCGGCTGGCTGCTTTCATAGTCCGCGAGCAAACGAGCGCGCGAGCCAGCCGGGGACTACTCGTCCGGCGGTATCGACCAAGATTTAGTTGTGAACAATTGGCAAGCGCCGCCCCAATTGCTCGCTCGCGCGATCGCGGGCCGAACGGCGGACTATGGACGAGATCAGGGATATGACGACCGTCCATCTTGCTTATAAAGCCATCCGCCACCCTCAGCTAGCTTCCAGTGCTTGTTCGACAACCCTGAGGAACGTGATGGAGTTGCCAAGAGATAAGAACTGAACGTCTTATCCCACGTGCTGAGGCAGTGAANCGTAGCCTTGATCCTGTCTGTTGGGATAACCCGGTTGACTCAGGATAAAGGGAGTCTGAGTTTCTTGGCCACTCCATAGGCCGGATCACACCCAAATGGATGGACTCACTGTTCTGCGACAACTGGTACTGGAACTATCGGCCCCTCCACAACCAATTGCTTTTTCTTTTCTACCTTCCCAAGCGTTTCCTTCCAAAGAGCTTACCCTCAGGAGCCACACCTTTGTATACTTGTAAGAGGGTATGACTGTTTTGATAACAGCGCATTATAGAGATACTACGTGCGCGACGGTTCCAGAATCCCTGGTTCCAGTGACTTTCTCGTTCCAGCCTTTTCTTTACAACATTAATATGCAGCTATGCAAACATTAAGACAGTACGACACCCTATGATGGTTAACGTAAAGTCGAGGAATCTCACCTTAAAACCTTCGACGTTAAAAGTATCTTCTCCGCTAGTTGTCTTCGACTTTGTACTCATATCCCATGATCCAGAGACAAGCAATAATAATATAATCGTACCATATATTGTCTAAATAGATTATCGATTGATCAGAGCCTGTACTGGCAAGTAGGCAAATCCAAAAATGGTCATTACTTACAAGGAGACTGACAAGTAGATGAGAATGAACCGCTACACAAGCCATCGCATCGTAACTGAGACACACTATTCTGTTCGATCAATAGCCCAGTATCAACACTCACCCGGTGATGTGATAGGTTCCTGGAAAACGATCAAAAAAAATTGAACACTTTGGAAGTCATACATGGCATGTGGGGGTTGACATATTGAGCGGTGATTTGAGAGGGATATTATTCCTATAAGTTCCCCCAATTCCTGGCCATATTCTTCAGATCTTAGTGAAAAAAAGAGCACCCACACCTTCGGCATATCACAGACACACATTGCGTTAATAGCTCGCTCTACAAAAAGTCTGAGGTGACGACAGAGGCTTAAGCACTTCACATTCCTGCAGACTTCTTGATGAGCTTAAGGACGACTCGATCCTATTGTTCTTCTTAAAGCTTACTATGGATTGAGAGAACGAAGAACTTCAAGTGGATTCAGCGCTGACGGAACAAGTTTGGGTGGAGAACGAGATGGAAGAGGGGTGTGGGTGTGAGGAATGGGGATGATCAGGCCCAAGAAGACCCGAGCAAGTTACATTATTGATTCCAAATTCTGAAGACTTCTATTTCCTCAATGTTGTGAGCATCTCGATTGACTGTATAGAAGCCTCGTTTCTTAGGCGAGTGCCACTGGAAACATATACCTGCTCCCAACTGGGGTACCTTGACACCTTCTGTCCCATCCTCATCGCCGCCCTGGCGTGACCGCCGTTATTTTCTACCAATGTCTAGAACGGGCGCTTTTTCTACAGCTAGTGGTTTCGTGCAAACATTCTAGAGTGATCGCAACTGTTGGAGTGATAACATGTTGGGAATAACCTTAGACATTGCCACATCAGTTTTCCGAACCCTTCTTAGCAATCCTTTTAACCAACCGGTTTGTTCCTCGCTCGCCATTTGCGGCACTGCACTATCTACAGGGTCCTCCTAAAACAGTCATCAAAGAGCCTTCATGAACACTGCAAATATGGAGAACATAATGAGTATAAACAAGTTTCTAGCAGGTAGGTAAACAAGACAGAGGCCTAAGTATTGCAACCGGTTACATGAATGACTTTGCTGGTGGTATTCTACGTTCCCCATTACAGTGACTCACTGGCATGGTGACGACAGCCTCTACAAAAAAATTATGGCCTCTCAAAACTCACTACAGCCAGATATGCAGTACCTGTTAGGGATCTTAGAACCGGGGAAAGAAATACCGCGTACCAGCATTTCTTCCGCTTTTCTTTGTTCTGACGAAATTCAGAGCTAGATTTTTTGAAAATTGTGATTACCATTGCACCCATCGGGCCCTAAAAATGGTTCTTTCAAAATTCTGTTTTTTTTTGGAGTAGCCTAACTTGAAGGCATACCCTCTCTATTGAAAGGGTATTCCGCTCAGATTTTAGGAGATATCGAAGAATCTAGGACCGATGTGGCATACCCTGAAAAGCTCATTCCACAGGGCTATCACTACTGAAGGATACATAGTTCATTCTTCGATGAGAACATAGTTTTCTTGCTTTTCAGTCTTCTGCTCCTCACCGACCGGTCTTCCAAATGCTGGATGGCAGCGTGCAACTGTGATCGGCGCATAATACAGGGAGGCGGAAGGGAGGCAAGCCAATCACCCGGCAAAATGCCAGACCTACTGACCATTGGTCCTGCAACAATCCCCGGTGCTGGTAGCTGTCATTGCGGCATTTTCCAAGTGTGCACACTTGTATCCATACCCTCGTCGTTCGCGCGAATCGCACGCTGTCGTCCAGGACTTGACGGTTCACCGGCAAGAGAATATTGAGGCCGGAATAGAGAAAACAGACTTCTAGCTGTAGTGATACTATACTTTGCTAAATGTACTTATAGTGGGGAACCGGATTGTGTGCGAAACAGCGAAATTATGTTCGGGAGGGGTATAGAAGATACTCATTCCCTTAGAATGTGTCGGTTAAAAAAATTAGGGTAATACATTAAAGGGAGCGTTCATCTGTAACAGGACCAGCCACAGAACTTCCGCAATAAACCGTCTGTAGTCCGGGATCGTATACAGATTACATCGTTGCCTTATAGAATTAGATGTACAGGCCCTTGAATCATGAGGGTAAAGGGTAGCCGATGTAGAGGCCGATTCTTTCATCCTTCCAGGTGTGTCTGGTACCAAAACTACCCCTGGAGGGAAGGAAGGCTTGGTTTGCCTGAGTCGGGTCACGAGTCTGTGATATGGGTGTGGTGGTGCGCCTCTTGCTTCTACAATATCTGCAACCCCAACTTTATAGTAAGACCTCCAAACCAAATCTTTTCAGATTTTCAAAGAGCCAACAATAGTAGAGCTCGAACAGTTGAGTTCTAAGGTGTATCCAACTCTTGGAACACTCGGTTTGAACCGACCCTTAGACAGAAAGCGGTTCGCATTGCCGTAGATCGGTAGGGTTAGCTTGAGAGTGTGAAAAAAGAGCAAATATTCGATAATGTACTCGAATCCCCACTAAATTTCGGAGGTTTTTTTTTCGAAGAGAGAGGTCTTATTCAAAAGGTGAGAACAATTTATTTATGAAATGTAATTGTATATCAAGTATCTTCATGCCGTTTGAGTATGGAAGGGATCTGAAAAGAGGTAGTCGCTTGTGAAACTGATCAGAAACAGAACGGTAATGGAAATAAAAACCGTAATGATTTCCTGGTCGGAGGTGACAAAATACCCTGCAAAGACTACCCAACTCTACGAGATCGTAACAATGTAACCCAGAGGACTTGTACTGCAGCTTATCACCACCATTACAAGCATTACACATCAGGGAACAAGTACTTTTCTTGAACCTTTCTCCGGAAGCCTTTCTGAGGTCACAAATCGAGGCCCCGCGGTGAAGTTCGCGACGGGAACTAACTTTTGGGTTCCCAAATTGCTGGAAAATTTTGCAGCGGATACCTACTTTTTTGTTGCTTAAGAGAAGTACTCCTTGTCGGGCATGTCCAGTGTAGAGACTTGGGTTTTCGTAGTTTTCCCATCCATATGAATTTCATTGTCGCCTTCTTGTAATTTCTTCGGAGACATTTGTCCACTCTTGATCTTCGGGGACATTTGTCCACTCTTGTTCTTTGGGGTCATTTGTCCACTCTTGATAATTTCGTTTGCTTTTTCTTTCTGAAATATGTTCCGAACCTTTTCAGTAACCATACTTATCCAGCCAACCACCACGATATCATACGCTCTGCTCAACGTCTGCTGGTTTGACGGGGTCCTCTGGTTGAATATTAGCCCTGTCCTGAAAACATTCCTTACTTACTTGATGATGGCTATTTGATTCGATCTAGACGACATACCTTGCTATCCCTGGTTTCTGGAGTTTGAACGGTTTCTTGGGTTCTGAAAAGAATCATTCAGGGATGCTTGGAGGGGATCTGAAAGCATAATAGTATGAGTATCATAACAAACATACTGGTTGGTGGTCATTTGAGTGGTATGGATGACAGGCCCTCTAGTTTTGTGTGAACCGCCCAACCTGTCAAACGTAGCAGTAGTTCTCCCTTTGCTTTCTGCTGTATAAGCCTGTCCACCAGCAGGCATTGCAGAGCCTCTACCGGATGAGCAGTAATACGAGTAAAGCCCTACGATTCCCACATTGTACACCAATGCCACAGAGGAGAGGATCTGAAATGGAACTGCTTTCGTGGACTTTCACTAACCGGGCTGAAAAAAGAAGGAAATCAGAATTTCGCTGCTATTACGGCAAGATTTCAGCCAATTCTACAACTTAGTAGATGCCCATGTCAACAAAACGAAAGCAACTAGTCCTTTGCTCACTAGACGCCACCGTTCAAAGGGCGTGGTTTACGAAGTAGGCGGGACTCAAGTGCAAAGGGTTTTTCCTAACGTAATTTAGTTTCTGCTTTTGTAAAGAAAAATATCAAAACGAAAAAAAGCACATACAGCTGTAGCAAAAATTGAACGAGAGCGGTGGCCTGGAAAATTGGGCAAGTGATGGATCCATAAGCATGTACATCCAGCAGCGTTGAATACGAAATTGAAGAACAAAATGATCACGACCTAAGAAGTATGCTTTCGAGGGCACCTCAAAACATGACCGTTTGGAAATACTTTCAAAAATCCTTATTGAATAGCGAGCACTAACATGATGGATTTGAGGGTGCCTGTCCGCCCGCAACACTTCCCATGATTGTGATAAAGGTGGTGATATGAAGGACCCACCGCAAACTGAGCCGGTAGAAGTAAGGAATAGGCTCAAAAGATAAGCTTAGACCGAACCGCATGCCGCGCTCGCCTCACTGGCTGCTTTCATAGTCCGACAGGGGCGGCGCTTGTCCCTTGTTCAAACTGAATCTTGGTCGATATCGCTGGACGAGTAGTCCCCCGGTCGCCCGCTCGATCGCTCGCGAGTCGAATCGCGGACTATGAAAGCAGCCACTCCCCAGGTGTGCAGCGTGCACTGTAAGGATTAGATGTGAATCTACAGTGGATGATTACGGTGACTGTCACTGCGACGCCATTGCCGCGTCATTGACTCTGGTACAAAGTCCGCTACCTGAAGAAGTAATGCGCGTGAATGGGTAACGGACCACCGCAGTGAAGGCAACCGGCACTGGAGAACGTCCAGGGCCATTACAAATGGATTTGGCATTTCGCCAAGCATCTGAATGCGAAACTTCGACTGTGATTGTTCAGGAATCGGCTGTTCACTTTTGGTGTCTTTCATGTGTTCTACAAATCCTTATCAGAAATTCACCGATTTGCAGCAAGGTTTCCATTCGGAATGTTGCTCTCCATCGGAGTATGGTTCATATATCGTCGTGAAAGACTCACCACCGGTGGAGGAAGCACTTTTGCACAGCAAACCACATTTCTTGCAAAGAGACAGATCCCTATGCACAGTGCTGAGAATCCGTGAACACCGATGGACGTCACTACCTGGAGTGGGAAGCGTCAAAGTAGTTTCTTCGAGGAAAACTTTTGTACATACCTTGAAAGCCTCCAAATCGACGTCTCCAACGTTTGCCCCATAGTCGAAGGCGTTCGTGCTTTTCAAAGAAGTGTTATATAACCCCGAACAAATCAACGAAGCGACAATTACAACGTAAATAACCTGAAAAATTGTGTTTTCCTTTTATGAATCTGTTCTGATGACCCATCTCCACACTCCTTGAGTATAAAGCGTTGGCAGCAGGGACCAATGTCAAAATGATGATCATTTGATCATTGAGGGCCAAATGATTAGCGCTTGAGACAAGCCCTGCAACAGAAATGGAATTGATCTCGACAATTCCATGACTAAACATCCAATTCAAGCTCCGAAATTTCTCGCAAGGAACTGTTCTCCCAAACTCTGCGATTCATCCAGATTCCATTCAGGCAAGACAATGAGCTCCATCCACCGCGTAGATGCCCACATCATCGTGTTCTCCAGGGAACCCTTCAATTTGTCCAGCACAAACTCACTAGTAATCCGAAGAGAGATTGCGAATGAAATGCAGTGCAAGCCATCTGACTAAAAAATGAGAAACCCTCCGTCAAAGCTCCAAAACAACATTGAGTGATAAGGATAATTGATATCCTCAAATTCACGCTGATAGCTAGAGTGATACCTTAAAGTTGTGGCTAGCTGGCCAAAACAATTGAGAACCTACTATTCCTCAGTCTTCTTTTTAGAAGAAAAAAACAGCTCGTTATTCTCTAACATACAGGTGTGCAGTGCACTATAATTGCAGTGCAGTGCATAATTCAAGCACATGCTCTGCGAATCGAATCGCGGACTGATACCTGCTACCAAGTAAGCCTTATATCCTTTTTGAGGCAATTAGTTCATGACAGATCCTCCTAGGACGGGAAAAGCAGTGCTCGATGCAGTTTGTTGCAAAAGACACCGGCTCATTCTAACAAAACGGGATTTTGAATGGAAGTCGAATGCAGGGCGCTTTCTGAAACGAGGTTGATCAACGCCAGTGACTATATCAACGCCAGTGACCTTTTCCCTTTATCCTTACAACCAGTAGGCGCTTGGCTTTCGCCGCCGGGCCTCTTGTCTTACTTCTACCAAGTGCTTTTCATCCAACATTGAGAGCAAGAGTGCGGAGGAGGGCTAGCCGACCTGACCTGTACTTAGAAACGGTTCTACGTATAGTTTCAAGCTAATTGTATGCCTCATAGGGGAGAAGTGGCGGGGTGGAGGTGGGATGGCTCGTGCTAGAAGCTAGGGTATTGGAGGGATTTTAGCGTCCCGTGGAAGTGTGATACAGTAACCCGCAAGTGCCCACCACCCACCTCGTGGGCTACACCTGGGGTAACTTTTTGTGGCGTCGTATATGCGAGGTGTTTGGAGGCGCTCAAGTGACTCACCCCCTTGGTACCCCTTCCCTCCTGAAGCTCAGATCGTAAAATGTATGTTCTTGGTTTAGAACTGTTCATGAGCACAAATATAGGCTAACCTCCTTATGTTGAAATTGTGTTGAAAAAAGCGGAGGTCTCCCAACTACATTATAATGTCCGATTTTTATGAGGACATACATAGCACGTCACCGGTAGACATCGAAATCACAGTTTTGAAGTACCTCCTTACTCCACATTACTCACCTCCCAAAACTCACTCTACTCCAACAATCTACCCACTAAGTAACTTCATTATATACCAGTCGGGCCGCCCGGCTAGCGCCAGGCTTCCCTCCTTCTTATGGTGTCGCCCGGCTTCGCCGGGCGCTCCTCCTTTTTGTAAGAAAATTGCTTTCCATGAAAGCTCTACACTCCCAGCATTAGCTCCGAATTGGGAGCGATTTTTTTCTGTATTATAATTGATTGTATACTAATTAGAAGTCTCGATTCATTGCTCTTCATCTCGAAATTGTGTCACATTGATGGCTTAACTGATTGAAAGCCAATGTCTTGAATGGTACCCAGAAATGGATAGTAACACCTATCACAGATGTCGTTATCAATGGAACATTTTCCCCACGGATTTTTCATTAATTTGGGTTCCCAAATCATTAGCGGTCGGATGGGTTTAGTCATAAATGATATGTCACAAAACAAAAAAGAGCCGTGGCGCTTCATTGTGTCACGAAGCTTACTATGTAACGGTCGTAGTTTAATAGCAAGAAATGGACAATATTCTCATTTCCTTATGGAGAAATGTCTTTGATCAGTCGCTATTACTGCATTTACCCGTCTTATTGAATGAAACATCTTAAAGAGTCAGTATTTGATCATGAATACTCTTTTGTTCTCTAAGGCCCCTTATCAGTTCTTATCAGTTGTTATCAGTTCCTGTCGCAGAGTACCTACGACCACGACACATCCTACATTGCCGTCATTGAAAAGGTTCCAGTTTTGACGCGAAG